TGGGCCCTGATTGGTTGTTAACGGTGGGTTATGATTGGTTGCTTTTGGACCAATCATGAGGTGCCGGATATGCAAATTTGAGGGATTCTAGTGGCCAATCAGAGCAAGGTTTCGGAGGTCAGGTTTTTGGAAGGGAATCAATCATGGTAATTGCTCTCTGAGAAACCTCGGCAGACTCGCTGGTGTGCAGCTTCCCACAGGTGACTTGAGAATCATGCTGGGTACATGTGCACAAGCTCAAGGTCCCAGGAGGAGAATGAAGAAGAGATTGCAATATGGCCATCCCCTGGGGAGGTGGTTTCTTACTTTCCCTCTCACTGTCTCTCTGCCTCTCTGGCAAGCACATGCATCCTATAGCACAAACCTTAAAAATAAATAAATAATAAAGATGGCCAAAAATTTTTTTAAAAAGAAAAAGCAGTCATTGAATTGTGGTTGAATTTTGTTTTCCCCCACATTTGTATGTTAAAGTCCTAACCCCTAGTACCTTAGAATGTGACCATATTTGGAGATAGGGTCTTAATCAAGTTAAAACGAGGTTGTTAGGCTGGGCCCTAATTCAATAACTTATGTTCTTATAAAAATAAAATTTGGGGACCAGCAGGTAGCATGGTGGTTAAGGCACTAGACTCCCACTTGGCTGATCTCAGTTTGCGTCCTGGACTTGGTGGCTTGAAAAATCACACCACGTGCTTTTGTATTCAAAATCTGAAAAAGAAAATGGAGAAGCGATTGTGCCATGGCCATCCCTAGTATGGAGCAATTTTTCACTTTTCCTCCCACTGTCTCTCTCTGGTGAGCTCATGCACCCTATAGGAAAAAAACTTAAAAAAAAAAAAAAAAAGAAATTTGGAGACAGACTGGCATACTGGGAGAATAGCATAAGAACATGAAGAAGGCCATTTATAAATCAGGAGAGAGGCCTTGAACAGACCCTTCTTCATAGCCCACAGAAACCAATTCTACCAATACCTTGTTTTTGAACTTTTAGCCTCCAAAACTGAGACAATAAACTTGTTATTTAAATCACCCAGTTTGTAGTATTTGTTATGACAGCCATAGGAAAGTAATATAGCCACTAATTTACCATTATTAGAAGTAATTTGTACAATATTTTGCCAGCAACCCCTATATCCCAAGTCCCCCCAATTCCTTATAAATATTTCAGTGTTTTTTTTTTTTTCAGTCAGTAAACAATTTTGACATAAGTTTGGGCATGACTTGACAGTTCCATAAGTGAAAATAAAATGTCAATGAATTATGAATGAGTTATGAAAGTTAGTTTTTTATTGTCTAAATCCTTATCAGTTCTTCCCTACCCTCATCTTAAAATTTTCAACATAAATAGGACTTAGAAAAAAAAAAGAATGGGGACCAGCAGTTAGTGTAATGGCTATGTCATTGGACTCCCACGTAGTCGACCGCAGTTCACGTCCCAGACCCAGTGGCTTAAAACTCACGCCGGGTGCATGTGCGTGCGTGCCTAAGATCCCAAGAGGAGAATAGAGGAGAAGGAATTGCGGCGTGATTTCTCACTTTCTGTCTCTATGTCTCTCTCTGTCTGGCGAGCGCATGTGCCCTATAGCGAAAATCTCTCAAAGAAAAAAAAAAAAATGAAATAAAAATTTTTAAAAACTCAGAAAACAAAAATTTTTCTGCTAAGAAAGATTAACCTTTATACTGAAGAGTAACTACATAGGGGATAAATATTGATGGGGAATGCAAAAGGAGAGTCTGTTTCTTATTAATGGGAGTATCAGTGAATTTAACTGTATATCATGCTGGACTTAATGTGTATCATGCTGGACTTTAGTCTGATAGTGCAATAATGATCCATACGCTAAGAACTAAGCTTGTTTTCAGTTTTAAAAAGAGAAAGTTAATGGCACCTATAGTTAAACAAGAAAAAATGTAGCTAGTTTCTTTAGTCTATCTGTATCTTTTCAGTTCTTGAAATCGGCACACATTCTGAGGACAGCAAGCAGCACAGTAGTTAAGGCACTGGATTTCCACATAGTTGACCACACTTTGAGTCCTGGACTTGGTGGCTTGAAACTCATGCCAGCCGTGTGTGTGTGTGTGTGTGTGTATGTATGTGTGTGTGTGTGTGTGTGTATGTATGTGTGTGTGTGTGTGTGTGTATGTATGTGTGTGTGTGTGTGTGTGTCCAAAATCCCAAGAGGAGAATGGAGAAGTGATTGCATTGTAGCCATCCTCCTAAGGGTGATTTCTTACTGTGTCTCTCTCTGATGAGTTCATGCACCCTATAGCAAAAATCTCTCTCTCTTAAAAAAAAAAAAAAAAAAGAAATTGGAGCACATGTAAGAAAATGGGATGACAGTCACCAAAAGTGGTTAAAACTACAAACTACCATACAATTAAAAATACCACATGTAAGATATATGCCAAAAATTATAGCAATGCCAAGAAAATTAAAATAAAAAATTTTACTTGTTTAAGGCAAATCTAATAAGTTGTTTTAAAACATTCATTTTAACATCTCAAAAAAAAGCTGAATTTATTATTTTACATTGACATGTAAGTTAAAATAAAGAGCATAATCAAGTTGTCTCATGGATGGGAAGATGACTTATTAATTCCCTTTCATTTCCAAACCTCATCAAGCAGTCACTACATTTATGAGGTAAGTCAGCTGAGTGCTTGAAATCTAGATGAATTTTAAGATCATCAATTTGTCCTGTTGAGTATTCGCAATATTGACATAAATAAATCCCTTCAGACAAATGTGAATTTAAATGCTTGCAATATTCTAGCATACTTGAAAAGCCTTTCCCACAGTCATCACAAACATGAGGAAAAATTTTAGTATGTTCAATAGCAACATGCCTATTCACATTTGTATGAAGTCTACTCCGAAAACCACATACTTGACATACAAAGAAGTTTTTACATTTGTCAAAGGTAATTTTGCTTAAGAGGCTGTATTGTCCGTGTTCTCCGCTGTTATATTTATCACTTAACTCTATTAATTTACACGCATGCTCATTTACCACGTGGCTATGCAAGTCCTCGGGATCATTGGTTTCATGTTCACAGAACTGACACAAGTACTGTTCGTCGCAGCTGTGCTCCTGGAAATGCAGGTAGAGCTCACTGCTTGAGGAGAACTGCACGTCACACTGCTCACACCAGTAGAGGTGATCGCTAAAATGGGTGTCTGCAATATGCTGGCTGAGGTTCTCAAAAATTACTGTCTTATAATCACAGTATTTACAAATGTATGGGTCCTCCTCATGTAGCTTGGCATGTTCAATCAGAAGTATGTTGGTAGAGAAACTTTCCTTACATACTCGACATACATTTGAGTCAGTTCGTTTATGCTTCAGAATCATATGCTGCTTTAAATCAGAAAAATATTTACTGTTGAACTCACAAAGTTCACATTTATAGAGGCCACTGCTATTAGCTCTCAGTAAAGGCCATTTCTGCTGGGCAGTCACATTCAAAGCTTGGCTCTTGTCAACAATTTTACAAAGTTTAGCAGGTGGCTCTTCTTCAGTTTGGTCCTGGAGACTCTCAGAGGAATGGTTTTCTGTCTCTATGTCATAATCCTCAGAAACTGCATGCACTTCCACGGCAATTGGAACATCTTCAGCAGTGTGCACTTCTATAGGACTCTCCTCTTGAATTTGTTGGTTTACTGATTCAGGTGAGTCGCAGTCTTCATCACAAATTTCAACATCAGCAGACTTTTCTGAAGAATAAAACAAGCAATAATTATATTATTATTACTAAATAAAACCTATTAGATTAATACAACTGGGCAAAAAGATTTACCATATGCATTGTTTTTTCACTGATCTATACAAAATATGCCAATGCTATTAGTTTTCCTAACCTGTGGAAAAGCCAGTGTGGTCGAGAATTCTAAGTACAGGACTGGGAACTAGGTAGTTTTGATTTCTGCTTCTGGCCTTGACTCCATCTGAAAATTTTGGCAAGTCATTTGATGCTTCAATATCTGAATCATCATCTGTAAAGAAGGGATTTGGAAAAATATTTATGTAAAAGCATTAAGCATTAATTATTATAAAATAAAGCACCAATTTTTTTTTTGAGAGGTTTTTGCTATAGGGTGCATGCACTCTCCAGAAAGACAGAGAGAGACAGAGAGACAAAAAGTGAGAAATCACCCACCCCCAGGGGGGAGGGCCGTGCCGTAATCCCTTCTCCTCCATTCTCCTCTCAGGATCTTGGGCACGCATGCACACATGCCCGGCGTGAGTTTAAGTCACTGGGTCCAGGACTCGAACCACGGTTGGCTACATGGGAGTTCAGAGACATAGCCATTACGCTAACTGCTGGTCCTGCACCAATATTTTTTTTTTTTGAAGAATTATTTATTTATTTATTTCCATTTGTTATTGTTAGTTTTTTTCTTTATTTGACAAGAGACAGAGAGAGAAAGGGGAAGTGAGAAAGCAAGCCACCAGGTCCGGGACTTGAATCATGGTTGGCCATGTGGGAATACAGAGCCCTTATCCACCACACCACCTGCTGGCCCCTCTGCACCAATTGTTTTTAACATAATGTTGAATTCCAAAAGAAACTAGGGACTTAGATTTAGTCACCACGAAAGATGTTTTCTATATACTTCAGACATACAGAAAATCTACCTCCGAAATTAACTGCTTTTGCTTCTATGCACCATTTGGATGAGAATACACTTTTTTGAAGTTACTTAAAATTTTTTAAGTTTAAATTACTGCATTTGAATAGGTCTTCGTTCTCTTAGCTCAGCCCCAATGTTTTAAAGTTAGCATGGAGAAACTAAAATTCAAGTTAACAGAGAAAAGTGGGCCTCAAATGCTTTTTTAAAAAATAGACTTTATTTTTTGGATACTTTTAGATTAGAAAAAAATATTGAGAAGATACTAGAGATTTCTCATATATCTTGTATGGTTTTCCTCAGTGTTAACATAACATCTTAAATTAGTATGGCTCGTTTACAACAAGCAATGACTATAGTCTACACTTCACCCAGATTTCTTTAGGTATTACTTATTTTCCTTTTCCATTCCAGGATCCCATCCAGGATACCACATTACATTTAGTTTTCATGTCTCTCTAAGTTACTATTGGCTGTGGCAGTTTCTCACTAACTTATTTTTGATGAATTTGACAGGTTTGAGGAGTACTGATCAGGTATGTTGTAAGATGCTTGACTCATCGAACTTGTCTGCTATTTTTTGGTTTGGTCTCCCATGATTAGATTACTGGGAGGTAGACCCTTGAGATAAATTTTTGTTGTCATCACATCTTACATCACCTGGCTAAGGTAGTATTTATCAGGTTTCTCCATTATAAAGTCAATTGTTTCCTTTCCGTACTCTCTCCTTGGGAAGGAATCACTAGGTGTAGCCCACTCTTGAGGATATGGAGCTGTATTCTACCTCCTGAGGGAAGAGTATCCACTATATTAATACATAAATAAGCTGGAATTCTCTGCAAAGATGACCTTTTTTCTTTTATTTATTTTTGTATGTATATATATTTATTCAATCATTTATATCAGTATGGACTCAACAATATCTATTTCATACTTTGGGTTACGATATTGGTATTTTCCTCAAATTGTTGCTTTGACTACCTGGGAACTCTCGTTTGGCTCTTGTCCTCCTTTGGCACATCCCTATTAAGTGCATATGTGTGGGGATTTTGTTTGATTGTTTTGTTGTTGTTGTTTGAGTACTTCTCTATTTTCCAGTACTATGAGATGTTTAACGTTAGTCTTGTATTTTCCTTCCCCAGACCTAAAATCAATTATTTTTTGAGAAGCCCTACTTCCCTTTATTAGAGAATGATATTAGAACTAAGATCTGGACATGAAATATACTCACTGCTTTTGGGATATCATTTCTTTTAGGCCCTTTTCAACTAACAGGGCAAAATATGTACGTGTATACTACCAAGTACATATATACACACTATAAGTATTTCTATATGTAACCACCTGAGTTTATATTATGCTAAACATAAGTTCATAATGATATCTCTGACTTTTCATGTTCTTTTATAATTTATGTTTCTGTGCTGTAACAGGAGCTCAGGGGGACTGAGAGCGTCAGTGGTCACCGAGTAAGAAGAGACTAAGTATGAGTTATTATCACCCAATGCCCTAGAAAAGAGGAGTCAATAGAAGATACAAGATTGAAAAAGGCCAAATTATTTTCTGTTCTTTCCTTCTATTAACATTCAAGACTGAGAGGTAGAGCACAGCAGAAGCTCTGTAACAGTATTCTGTTTTTTTTTTTTTAAAAGAATTATTTTATTTAACGTTATTTATGTGTTTATTTATTTTAATTTGACCAGAGAGAGAAAGAGAGCCGTCAGGTCTGGGACTCAAACTGCGGTCGGCCAGTAGGAGTCCAGTGCCCTTAACCGCCACCTGCCGGTGCTGTGTAACACTATTCTTAACCTTTAATCATAATGTTCCCAACTCTGAGTTACTTCCGCTTTGCCAGGAGTCATCATTTCTAGCCAACTAAAATGAACTTTTAGGAGAGTACCCTTTTATTTACATGTCTGAAATAGTGTAAAGTTTTAAAAAGGAAAATTAGTTGCTTGCTTTCTTAATAAAAAAAAAACAACCTGTTTTATTACACTTCAATGAATTCAACACTTGCCTGTTTTAAAATCAAGTCACATTTTCAAAGAATGAAAAATTAAAAACATGTAAAAATAATTTAAACAAAAATATTTTAGAAAATGATAGATATACCTTTGTTGTCAAAATACTTTAAGTCTGGCTGTCTCATAGAACAGACACTATAACAATGATCAGAAAGAATCCCATTAAATCCATCTGCAATTCTGCTTATTCCAGAAGAATCTGCACATAAGACAAAATAAAAGTGGTTTCCAGCACAGTAAACTTACACACATTTAAGATGATAAATACCTTTATCCAAAATATTTTTTTCCATGAAAGCATAATATTTTCTTCAATTTTTTAAAGCTTTTATATTTCAGATCTGGTACTGATATTGAGGTTTGAAAGAACCAAACACTATATACTTTAAAATGTAATAATTTTAAACCACATATGAATATATTTGCCTTACATTCAGAATTTCACAAACTGTAATACAGGATAAACACACACTGACTAACAGGAAGGTATCCTGGGGAAGTACAGAGAAGACCTAATATATAGGGTCATGGTCTGAGTCTCAATTAGGCCTTCTGAATACAGTAATTTCAAGTCTTGCCTGGGAAGGGCCAGTAGACAGTAGGCCAGGCTTAACTCCCTTAGAAATACAGAATACATAGGTTGGGAAGGCCAACGAGATGCCTGAGTCTATCCCAAATATGTGAAGGGTGTTAGATGGAGATGGCCACAAAGTTCCCTTTTCTTACAATGCCAAACAGCAGCACCAGCCTCAGTTAAAGGATCTAAAATTACACATCATTCATATTCCTGAAAAGCATGTACAGAATAGTGTTTTCCCCCCAATAATGCAAAATATCTTCCACCTAGGTTATTGTCTCTTAAGCACAGCTTGAGAATCAGACAGGCAAATCCCAATTACAGTACTTAAGTAAGTAACCTTAGCTACCTAATTTTAAATACCAGGGGCCTAGACGGCAATGCCTCAGTAAGAACCTACAGGGAAGGTCCTAGTATATTCTGTTTGGAAAACTCCCTGAACTTTTTGGGCATGCCCATGATCTAGCAGGACTCTGTTGAGGGTAACTACCTGTCTCTTGCTGGCTCATGGAAGAAATAAATAAACTGCAAAAAAAAAAAAAATTTTTTTTAAATATCTATAACCCCATAAAATTGTGAAAAATAAACAAAATGATGTCTCTAAAATTCTGACATGTGCCCAGCATATGGTAGATAATGAGGAACAACATATATCCAGGAGAATTTAATTAGTGTTCTCTGGCCTAAAAATTGATATTTAAGTCTCATCTAATCATTCATCAGAAAGTAGATGGATATACAAATTCATGGGAATAAATCTATGATCCAACTTTAAAATAATTCAATTATCCACTGACCTGAATAACGAGAAGGGTGTAAAGTCTTCCTTTTCCTTTTTTTAGGATACTCATTCATATCTTTTCAATCTATAAATTAAAAAAAAATCACAATGAACACTGCCAATATCACTATAAAAATTCCTTCTTGGCTCAGCTTTGGTGGTACGGGCAGCAATGAACTGAACTGCAGTACTAGAAACTACATGGCGGACTGTAGGTTTGGATCCCAAGTTGATCTAAATGACACCAGGCATGCACCCAAGATCTTGACTATCTAGAGGACTGGGGGAAGGGGATCATGGTGTAAAGAGACCCTGTCAAGGGTGCCCTTCTCTCTCTTCCTTTCTTCCTTCCTTCCTTCCTTCCTTTCTTTCTAAATTCTTTCTTTTTCAAGAGAAATTTTTGCTATAGGGCATGTGTGTGCAGAGAGACAGAAAGCAAGAAATAACCCCTCGGGGATGGCCACAGCACAACCCTTCTCCTCCATTCTCTCTGGATTTGGGGTGTGCATGCGTTCGCACCTGGTTTGTTTCAAGCTGCCAGGTCTGAGACTCAAAATGGTGGGTCTGGGACTCAAAATGTAGTCAGCCATGTGAGAGTCCAGCGCCTTAACCACTATGCCACCTGTTTGCTCCAAGGGTACTCTTTTCAGTCTCTCTCTCATACTAAGGAAATAAACTTAAAAATATTAAACAATGCCTCTCTTTCTATTATGGAATATTCTTCCAACTAAGTTTAAAGGAAGAACATTTGTTTTCTTTCTTATCGAAGCTGAGAATTCTTATTCAAATGCTGACATAATTGAAAGAACTGGGTAATTACAATAAGTCCTATGCTTTATTTATTTATTTAGAGGTTTTTGCTATAGGGCACGTGCGCTCACCAGGCAGAGAGACAGAGAGATAGAAAGCGAGAAATCACCCCCAGGGGGGATGGCCACACCACAATCCCTTTTCCTGCATTCTCCTCTCGGGATCTTGGGCACGCATGCACATGCACCCGGAGTGAGTTTTAAGCCACCGGGTCTGGGACACAAACCGCGGTCGACTACATGTGAGTCCAGCGACATAGCCATTACACTAACTGCTGGTCCCTATTTATTTTTTTTAGGTTTCTGTCATAGAGTGTGTACACTCACTGGAGACAGAGACAATGGGAGGAAAAATGAGGAATCACCCCCAGGGAGGATGGCACACAGCAATCCCTTCCCCTCCATTCTTCTCCTGGGATTTTGGGAACACACACAAAAACGCCTAGTATGGTTTTGAAGTTTCCAGGTCCAGGACTTGAACCATGATCAGCCAACATGGAAGTCCAGCACCTTAATCAATACACCACCTGCTGGCCCCAAATTATTATTACCTTTTTAATTGCAAGGGCACTGTGCTCACTAAAGGGAGAGAAAGCAACACCCACTAATGGGACATGGTCATGATGCAATCCCTTTTCCTTTATTTCTCCATCCCATCAGAATTTGGGGCACACACTCACCCTGTATGCTTTTTAAGCCTCAGGGTCTGGGATTCAAACAGCAGTCAGTCATGTGGAATCAGACTTTCTATGCCCAGCAGTTCATCTCTGTGCTACAGGGACAGCTCTTTAGTTATTTTTTATTACAAAAAATAATCATTGTGCCTATGGCAGCATAGCAAGACATTTTTACAGGCACATTTCCTATAATTGGATATTTTTCACATAGGTTTCAAGCTAAAAGCAAATATTACTTTAAAAATTATCACAATCTACATTGGCAAATTAAAAAAATGTTAATTTATCACATAAAAGTTTAGAACATAAATAATTTCAAAGGAGAAAAAAAAATCTTATTTATAAGGTCATATTCAACATTCTACCAAGAACACAACAGGTATGGCAACCATTGTATGATTAAATTCCCATGAACTGCTGTAAAATTAGTAAGTTTCACAGCATTCTACTTACTTGGTATAATTCTTTATACTGATGTGAGGAAAAATGAGTTATAGAGAAGTTTCCACAGATGGTAAGAAATGGCTGTAAATAAAACATGACAGAAGTTATATAAGCAAAAATGTAGTTCACTTGTTTTTTTTTCTCTTTTTTGTTTTTGTTTTTAATGTAGTTCACTTCTGAGATTAAAGAATACAATGGTATCAGAAAGTGTTTTGAAAGGTATATAGAAATAATTAAGGTAAAACAGTCTTTTGAATGTATTATAAACCCTAAGATTATATACATTGATAAATGTGTGCTTATATGTGAATTTTTCTTATCTCTTGAAATGAATTTACCTTCTAAAGCTGTATCTTGACAAGAAAAGAGGAATATATGTTTGCATGAGGAGACAGTCCATAGCACACCAATTGAACACTATACTGAGGAAACTACATCCCACATGGCTAACCAGGATTTGAGTCCTGAAAGAAAAAAAAAAAAAAGTTAAATTGCATTAATTACTCAGCCATAAGGTAAACAAGCATAATAGCAAACACCAAATCACAGACTTTAAACTGTTAAGGTCCTTACAGATTACTGAACAAGTAAAAATAATGATGACACTTTACTGAGCACCAACTATGTATAGGTTAAACACCCTTATAGTGAAATGCTTGGGCCTAGAAGTGTTTCAGATTCTAAATTTGAGGATATATGCACACACATGAGTTATCTTGGGGATCAGATCCAAGTCTAAACATGAAACGTACATGTGTTATATACACACCTTATACATGTAACCTGAAGGTAATTTTATATATTTTTATATTGCAGTGTTTGACTGCAACTTCCATTTGTAGTGTTGTACCAGCACTCCAAAAGTTTCAGACTTGAAGCATTTTATATTGGGCTGGCCCAACCTATATCAGGCTCTGAATATACCTTATGTAACCCCATAATATGCAAAACCCACAATATCCCCTCAAAATCATTATTTTCCCCTTATTATTGATGAGGAAACTGAAATAGTAAAGTCCGAGTTGGACACTCAATAAGTAGTGGGGTTGGGATTTGAATAAAGGCCTAACTAATTATAAAGTCCATGCCTTCAATCTCTGTATCTTTAGAAACAACAGGGTGACCACCCTGATTCAAGTAGATTACTGTCAGAATTAGAAACCCGCCATTTCAGATTAGTGTTCTTTTCAATGCAGCAGTGGGCAGGGAAGGAATGTCAGGAACAAATGCATTGTGGTATTTGTTCCTGCAATGTCTGCAGCCGTATCTGCTGCTGACAATTGCTAAGGTGATTTCCATGGCAGGTAGAACTTGGCATCATTACTGAGACTGTCATTTCTAGTAGTAAAGATCTAGTGGTGCATCACTAAGTTCTAGATATATCAGTACTACAAGCGATATGACCAAATGGTAACAAACTTGCTTTTTCAGTTCAGTAAGCATTTTCGTAACTCTTCTATTTCATCTTCACAACAATCCTGAGAGGTACAGAGTGAAGCTACTATCAAACCCATCTCATTTTAGAGAAGAGGATACAGACTCAGTGAAAGTCAACTACCCATTTTTCATTTCAGCAAACATTAGGTGCCTTTTGTATGCATAACATTTTTAATAGTTTTGTTTTGTATAGTGCATGTGTACTTCCCAGAGAAACAGAGAGACAGGGACAGGGGTTTTTGCCATAGGGTGCCTGTGCTCACTTGTGTGTATGTGTGTGTGTGTGTGTGTGTGGGGGGGGGAGGTGGTTACAGACAGTGAGAGGGAAAGTGAGAAATCAACCCTAGGGGGATGGCCACTCCGCAATCCCTTTTCCTCCACTCTCTCAGAATCTTGGGCATGCATACAGGTGTACCTAGTGTAAGTTTCAAACCACCAGGTCCAGAACTCAAACCACCAGATTCAGGACTCAAAGTGTGGAGTTCAGCAACGTAACCACTATGCCATCTGTTGGCCCTGGCATAACAGTCTTGACAAAGAACTGTTTTTTGTTTTGTTTTGTTTTTTAATTTTGCTGTCGGGTGCCTGCATCTCCTCTGCAGAGAAGGCTAAAGGGAGAAATCACCCCTCAAGAGGGATGGTCATATCACAATCCCTTCTTTGTTCTCTTCTTGGGGTTTTGGGCATGCACACACTCACACGTGCCTAGCGTGGTTTTGAAGCCATTGAGTCCATGGCTCGCACTGCACAGTGGGACCATGTGGGATCCTACCACCTAAATCACTACACTGGCTGGCCAGAAATATTTTTGTTTGTTTTGTTTTGTTTTAAATTCAAGGATGTGATAGAGACTTGCTTACTAGCGTACCTATCAGGAAGGTTATGAATCACACTCAACTTACCACTCACTCTCCTCTCCCCATTTAAATACAAACTTCACACATTATAAGCATCACTCCAGGAAAATCAGAATTTAAAATGTTATTTATTTAATTTTATCCATTATTATTTTTTAACTTGATCAGAGAGACATGTGAGAAAGCAAACTGCCAGATCCAGGACTCAAAATGCAGTCAGCCATGTGGGAGTCCAGCACTTCAGCCACCAAGTCACCTGCCGGCCTTAGAATTTTTTTTTAAAAAAAGAGGAATTTTTGCTATAGGGCATATGTGCTTGCTGGAGAGCCAGGGAGAGACAGAGAGACAAAAGGTGAGAAATCACCCCCCCTCCCCAGGGGTATGATCACCCTGCAGTCCCTTCTCCAGTCTCCTCTTGGGATTTCGGGTGCATACATGTGTGCACACACACACACACACACACACACACATACAGGCCACACGCCTAGCATGAGTTTGAAGCCACGGGGTCTGGGACTCAAACCATGGTCAGCCAGGTGGGATTCCAGCAACGTAACCACTACATCATCTGCTGGCCCCCAAAATCAGATTTTTTTTTTTTGAGAGGTTTTTGCTATAGGGCACGTGCACTCACCAGAAAGACAGAGAGAGACAGAGAGACAGAAAATGAGAAATCACCCCTGGCGGTGGCCATGCCGCAATCTCTACTCCTACATTCTCTTCTTGGGATCTTGGGCATGCACGCATGCACACATGCCCAGAGTGAGTTTAAGCCCCCGGGTCCAGGACTGGAACCGTGGTCGACTACATGGGAGTCCAGCAACATAGCCATTACGCTAACTTCTGGTCCCCAAATATTTTGAAAATGTGTTTAAATTAAATCACCTGCAATCCATTTACCCAGAAAAACACTGTCAACATTTTGGTATATATGTATCATTCATACACACACACACACACACACACATACATATACATATATATATTCACATATGTGAATATATATACATATATATATATATATCTTGATGTTTTACACTTATGAAAATAAGATCACACTACTTGAAATGTCAGGTTTTTAAAGGCATCTTACAAAATGCCAACACCTTTCCACCTTTTCCAACCAGCATCTGTCTATAAAGCACAACATGAGTCAAATCTGTGTACCTTTTTACAAAGACCTTTCACGCCATGTGGTCTTTCTTCCTGATAAAAGCACAGCATCACATTACAAAGCTATGTTTTAAACAAGTTTGAAAAATTAAAGTTTCTTTTTCACTCTTTTAGAAATAAGCATATATTGGGACCAGCAGTTAGTGTAATGGCTATGTTGCTGGACTCCCATGTAGTCAACTGTGGTTCGAGTCCTGGACCCAGTGGCTTAAACTCACGCTGGGCGCTTGTGCATGCGTGCCCAAGATCCCAGGAGGAGAATGGAGAAGGGATTGTGGCATGACCATCCCCCCTGGGGGGTGATTTCTCACTTTCTGTCTCTATG